ACTTATATGTAATATAATAAAACATGTTACTGTCACCTATCTTGGCGTTGAGTCGGCAGTTCTGGAGGAATTACCCGCCTCCACTCTCACGTCTACAATCGCAGAAGAACATAAGAGCATTGTGTGCAGGCTGAACATGGCAGACCATCGATTGAGAGACCCCCCCCCAATTGAGTGGATCAACGTCATTTTCATTTTGATATAGTATAAGTATTACGCTGTTATATAAATAAATAAATATAATAAAGACTATAAATATCTATCTTGTAAATATAATTTTCATTATCATCTATAATGTATATATAATTTACAGTATTATAACTACCAGTATTATCCCCCAGGAATTTCAGAAGAATTATCATTTTCTGTCTAACAGATGGGGGAGGTCTCAGGACAAGTTGCCTACAACTGGATCCAGGTTAATCACGCATCAATAAGCAGCCCCAATATCACAATACACATCTAAGCTGTAAACATACTGCGGTCAGGACTGTCAACATTAACGCCTAGCCTGGAAATTAGGCAAAAGTCGGAATCATTGACGGATGTCTACATATTAATTTAGACTTCAGCCTTGAAGGAATGAAAATGTCAGAGCCCGACATCAACGAGGCCTGGGGAAAACCGGTGTATATTATGTATGTATATATATTATATATTATATATATGTATATATTATACTATATATATATGATATATTATATATGTATAGTATATATATATTATATGAGTAATATTATGTATATAATATATATGTATATATATAGTATAAATATATATAATATATACACACACATATATATATATTCAGAAGTAGATAATTAGGGAATTCCCTGGGATTCGCCTATATCTACTCTGATATATCATGCGTGTCTAGAACAAATTACCCTCGGAAAATCAACCCCACGGACAATTACCACCACCGACAATTCATCCCCCATGACAATTACCCCTCCCCTGGATAATTACCCCCCAGACAATACTCCCAGGCCGGACATTACCCCCCCGAACATTTACCCCGGACAATACCCACAGATCAATACCCCCCGACAGTTTACCCCGGACAATTACCCCCTGGACATTACCCCCCGACATTTACCCCGACATTTACCCCACAGACATAATTTACCCCCGCGACAGTTTACCCCCGGACATTACCCGACATTTACCCGGACAATTTACTCACTTTTGTTTCATTATCAATGTCTTGAACAGCTGATAAAGGAGCGAGGTCGAGGAGAAGGAAAGAGTGGTGGAGAGGAGGCGGAGAAGGCTCCGGAGAAGTGGGGGAGAAGGTGGTGGAGGAGAGGGGAGAAGGTGAGATGAGATGAGGAGAGGAGGCTGGACGAGAGCAGGAGAGGAACGTGCGAGGATGGCAGAAGGTGGGAGAGGAGAAGGAGAGCGGAGAGGAGAAAGAGCGAGAGACGGTGAGGAAGACGAGAGAGATGAGGGAGGAGGAGGGGGCAGAACGTGGGGGGAGACAGGTGCGGAGGAGGGAGAGGAGAAGTGGGCAGGAGAGAGGAATGAGCGAGTGGGAAAGGAGAGGAGAACGAGGAGATGGAGAGCAGGGAACTGGAGAGTGTGGAGAAAGAGGGGAGGGGAGAAGGTGGAGGCAGAAGGAGGTAGAAAGGAGGAGGGTAGCAGAGGCCAGATGTGGAAGGGGGGGAGGAGGGGGAAGAGGAAGAGACGAGAAGAGTGGAGGAGGAAGAGGAGGAGGCGGGAGGAGGAGGAGGTGAGAAGTGGCTGAGTGCAGAAGAGGGAGAAGTGAAGGAGGAGGAGAGGCAGGAGGTGAGAGATGGCAGGAGGTAGAGGAGAAGCGCCCCCTACCTCCTCCTCTCCTCTCCTGGCTACTCTCCTGCCTCTCCGTCCTCCTACTCCTCCTGCCCTCTCCTCCTCCATCCTCCTCTCTACTACCTTCTCTGTCGTCCGGTTAACTCCTCCTCTAAAGTCGGTAATGTCGGGCGAATGCCGGGGCGTAAAATCGTCCCAGGCCACGGGGCGGCTGATTGGTCCCAGGGGGTAAGATGTCCAGAGGGGTAACTGTGCCGGGGTAAATGTGACCGGGGGGGGTATTTGATCCGTGCCGGGGTAGATGTCCGGGCGTAATATGTCCGCGGGCGGGATGTGATTGCTTATGGGGGACGTACTTGTCCGGGGGGGGCCCGAGTGAATGCTTATGGAGGGCGTAAATGTCCGGGGGGTAAATTGTCCGGGGGTAATTTCCGGGCTGATTCTGGGGTATTTGTCCTGATACCATATAGATATGATATATTATGCTTATATATCATATTACCAATATGGTGGTGTTGTGTATTGGTTGCAGGCCGGGCAGTGCAGAGGAGCCCACGTTTATAGGGTGATGACAAAACAAGTTTCTCTGGCCTACATAGCCTCGGCTCAGCTGATAACCACGTCTTCCGGCCCTACACTCCCCACCACACCTCCGGCCGCGCCTAACCGCCCTCCCTACCGCGACCATCCGGCCTGACCACCCTCCCTCCCCTCTCCCCGCGACGCTCCCCCTGGAGCTCCCACCTCCCCTACACGCACCTCGCCCTGACGCATTAACCTCCGGGGGCCGTGCGCACAGCGTGCGGAGCGTATCCGCACGCTCCGCGCTAGCCACGAGCGCTCGCGCCCTAGCATGACCTCCCGTACCACACTGCCTGAGCGCGACGTGCTCGGCTAGGCGTAAGCGAGCGGGGCCTAGCGACACCTCCCCTAACACAGCCTCGCCTACACACTCCCTAGAAGCGGTGCACATCCGCTCCGCCTACGTGCGAACACCACCCTCGACCGCACGCAGGGGCTTCCGCGCTAAACAGACGGGCTCGCCGGTACATACGTCTGCCTAGCCAGCACCTCGCGCCTAGCCGCTCCGCGCGCTCTCGCGCACACGCTGCCCTAACAACGACCCGTCCGGGGCAGCGTACCACACCTCCGCTGCGTGCGAAGAGCAGGTCCGCCTCCCCTACGGGCGACCACGCGCCCCGTACCCACCACCCCCAGCCCGCGCCGTACGCACCACGGCTCGCGCCTAACCAGCACCTTCCCGAACAGACGCTCCCCTCCAACACAACCTCCGCGCTACAGTGACGCTCCGCCTGACCAGCACCTCCCCTCCATACACCAGCCCTACCACACGCTCCCTAAACCACACCTCCGCCTACCACGACCTCCGCCTAACACACCTCCGCCTACCATACCTCCCCCTACGTCAGCACCACCCTATCGGACAACCTCCCCCTACCAGCACTTCCGGCCTAACCACACCTCCCCTAGACACACCTCCCGTACGCTACCTCCCAATATTCACACCGTGCCCCTGACACACGCTCCCCCACCACACCTCCCCTACCACCACTTCCCCTACGCACACCTTCCCCACCGCCACCTCCCTACCCGGCGACCTCTGCCCCCGACCCCACTCTCCGCTACCGCACCTCCCCCAGCCACACCGTCCCCGTACTTCCTCCCATAGTCACCACCGCCCTACCAACACCTCCCCCACACACCTCCTACCACACTTTCCCTACCAACGCCCCGCACCCACCTCCCCCTACCGCACCTCCCCCACCCCACCGTTGCCGGGGGCGTTGACGCACCGCGCGCGCGCGACGAGCCACCCCAGCTACACCCTCCCCTACACACACCTCCGCGCAACCACACCTCCCATACCACACCTCCCCGTACACACTTCCCCTACCCACCACCGGCGCGCCCCCTACCACACCTCCCCTAAACCCACACTTCCCCTACACACCCTCCGCCCACCACACCTCCCCGAGCAGACGCTCCTCCACCCCACCCCCTCCTCGGCGAGTGCCTACCGCACGCTCCCCCACGCCGCACCTCCGCCACTACACCTCCCTACCGCACCTCCCCCACCACACCTCCCCAGACAACTCCCCTGACCACACCTCCCCACCAACACCGTCCCTACGCTCATGTCCGGGCCTTACCACGACTTGCCGGCCTTACCAGCACCTCCCCCACCACACTCCCCTACACCACCTCCCCTACCACACCTCCCACCTCCCCCACCCGCAGCGTCCCCACGAGCGCGCTCCCCTCCACGACTCCCCTACACACTCCCCTACCCACTCCCCTACCAAGCACCTCCCCCACCACGGGGCGGGGCCTCCCGTAGCCCGCCATCCCCCACCCCAGTTCCTGCTGGTCCTACCGACCATCCCCCACCACACCTCCCCACTACATCCTCCCGACGCACCGTCCCCTACCGACACCCTCCCTACACAGCCTTGCCACACCACACCTCGCCTCACCACACCTCGCCGCACCACATGCTCGCCTACCACGACCGCCGCGCGGCCACAACCTTCCGGGTCCAGCGCGCAGTCTGCCGTGAGCGCGCAGCGGTGCTGCGCCCACGTAGCTAGCCGTCGGGGGCCTACGCATCGACCGCGCGTAGCCGCAGCCTGCCTCGACCACCCGTCTCGCTACCACACCGTCTCTCCTCAACCACACCGTCCCCGGTACCACATCTCCCACCGCACCCCCGGCACTAACCAACCTCCCTTACGCATACCTCGCTACACACCTCCCCACCGCAACGCTCCCACGACCACCTCCCCACGCCGTCACATCTCCACGTACCCACCGTGAAAAGTCCGTCCGAGTCGAGACGTCGGACGTACGTCGGTCGCTTTGCTCCCGCCACAGACTCTTCAGATGGCTCACCTCGTTGAGCCCGCCTCTGCCTGCGGTCCGTCCGTCGTCACGCACGACGAGAGAGGGCCGTGTCTCGCGGGGCCCGTCCGCTGAGAAACTCTGGTCGCGGCGGGGTAGCCGACGCGGAACGCACGCGACGACGGGGCAGCGGGCGGGACGTCGGTTCGGCCGGCGCAAACACAAAGTAGACGGTCTCGGACCGGTTGGTCACGCGGCCGGCCTGGCGGCGCGATGCGACCAGCGGCGGCGCGGGCGTTAACACTCGAGCGATCGCACGAGACTGTGAAACCTTTGACGGCGCTTCACGACGACGCGGAGAAATATTCCCCGTGCCGAACTCCCCGGTTGCTACTGCGGGGAACACACCCAGAAACATATTCGGTGAAACTCTCGCGTTTGTACCTCCACACGCCCCACACTCTCAACTAAACCTGCCGACCACACTCTCCCCCATACTGCCGACACGCCTCTCACCAGTACCTGCGACCACGCCCCCACCGTGACCGTGGCAACCACGCCTCTGACCGCGACCCTGCAACCACGCCTGCCCGATACCTGCGACCACGCCCATCGCACTGCACCACGGGCCCCTCAGCGCGTACTGCTGGACCACGCCCGCTCGACCGCGTGTACCTGCGCACCACCGCGGCCCCTCATCGTGCGCTGCGCCGACCACCCCCCTCACCTACCTGCTGTATCCGGGGCGAGCAGGGACCGCAGGCGGCGGGCGGGTCGTGTGCGATGCGTGCTGCAGGCTGCTCGGCGTGGGGCTGAGCAGCGAGCGCGCGGCGCTGGTGCGGCCGGCCGCCCGGGATGCAGCGGCTCGGAGGCGTCATGAGTTACGCGTACCTAAACGCTGGGGTCGGGCGGGGCAGCGGGCCAGGGCCGCGGTCGACGTAGTTGTAGCGATCACCTCAAGCGCTGGCCGTGCGGCCCCCGTCCGTACTGACAACGACGACGACCTCACTGTCAACATTCATATATGTATATATGTTATATGTATGTGTATGTATATATTCACTTATTATGTATTATTAGTATACATATATATATGTGTATACACAATATATGTGTATATACATGATATAACTGTATTATAGGTATATATATTATTATATTGTAGTAAAAACCGCTCCGTTCGGCGCGGCGACGGAACGTAGTTTGCAACTGGTCATCCATCCTCCCCTCCCCCCTCACCCTCCTCTCCCTCCCTCTCCCCCCTTCCCCCTCACCTCCACTGCCATTTGCCATATGTTATAATGGCGGGCACTCGACCAATCACACGAAAACGAAATTAAGCTGGCAACGTTTTTTCTCGTGCAATCTCAAACTGAAACCCTTCTGGCGAGTGGTTGTGTGTGTGGGAGTGCTTTATACGCCGCGCATGAGAAGACAGTAACCATGCTCTTATAGGGACTTGCACGCGGTCCGATGCACTCGATGGGTCGGCTCTATCAATCCCTTTCAATTTATCGTATTTATATTATTCCGATCCTTCTGCAGTGTACAATACAAACCTGACTTGTACTAGAGCCAATTTATTCTCTGAATCACCGGAAATGCAAAAACTATGATGACGCCAGTTTTATGTTAACATTCGATTTGAGCTAGCCAGTTAGACACGTCATAGTGAACACCCTCAAAATTAGTTATAAATTTCACAAGGCAATGATTCGAAAGTCAACTCTAAACGTTTTGCAGTATTACTTTATGCCGCTTCGCGCCGCAAAAAACACCTGCCCCAGCGTACGTGTTTATGGCTGCCAGCCTGCAACTTGCAGCAATTAGCGACTACCTGCCAGCAATCAGCACTAGTGATACACACGATAGAATTGAATTCGCATTAAATAATGAATTTATCAACATGGCTTAAACTGGCCAGAGTAACGCTCAATTTGTAACCTTCTCTGTCGTGCAGACATGCCGAGGAGAAATAAATCGACGACCCCCGACACAAGTGTAACCCCATAACAATCGCTGGGATCGCTATTTGTTTAGTTAAATCGTTGTGAAACAAACGCTATCAAAAACGCATTACCCCTTCTGTCCAACCAAATGAAATAGCCCGTGGCCTCCGGTACTGCAACACCAGCCGCCACTCATAATACACGCACTTATTATAAATACAGACCGCCAAATAAAGCGTTTCATTTCAAATAGGACGCTGGCAACAGGAAGCAGCCTAGCTGTCAAGCTTGCCAGCAAGCACATTCACGGCTATAATAATACAGCCCACTATTACACCAGACGCGGACTATGGACATACATGTCTATCATGCATTATACCTAATCGGAGAGTAGAGATGTAAAATTCTATTCACATCTTGCGTTTGATAGAAAGTATACATACTCTTCTATCTGCTAAAATGGAAACTTGCCATTAATTAATAGAATCGAAACTTTTCTCAATGTTGACCAACTTCAGGCCGTCAGGCTTTCTCTTAATCGTTTAAAAGTCCATGGGACTATGAAGAATCTGCTTGAGGTTATAACATTGGCAGTTCCACATATATATCTCTATGACTAATACTTTCCCCTATGTACGACACGAGTTAGATTGTTGAATTCACTGCATCTCTCATCTTCAGAACCAGCATGTCTGCGCACACAGCATCGTGCTGCTTTTCGTGTCCTCGCTCGTGTCATCCTGTGCCGCCCTCTCCTGCTACAACGGACGGCTATGGTTTCACAGACCGGTCCCGCTACCTCGAGCTCCCCTCAACGGCTCGCCTACTCGGATGATTACGGCGTCGCAGTGGGTTGGTTCCATACGACGCCTGCATCCCCGCAGAATCTTCCCCACACCTCCCCCTACCACACCTCCCCTACCACACCTCCCTACCACACCTCCCCTACCACACCTCCCCTACCACACCTCCCCTACCGCACCTCCCTACCGCACCTCCCCTACCGCACCTCCCCTACCGCACCTCCCCTACCACACCTCCCCCGTCACATCTCCCTGACTCACCGTGAGAAAGGTCCATCGAGCTCGATCACCCGGACATACGTCGTCGACTGCTCCCGCCACAGACTCTTCAGCATGGCCTTGACCTCGTTGACCCCACCTCTGCCGCCGTCATCCGTCGTCACGACGACGAGAAGATGCACGTTCTCGCCCCTCGCGAGAAACTCGTCGCCGTAGCGACGCAGGAACGCACGCAGACGCGGCAGCGCGGATGTCGTCGCCGGCAACACAAAGTAGATGGTCTCGGACGAGGGTGTCAGCGCCCCCTGGCGGGCGATGATGCCGCCTAGCGGCGTGAACAACTCGAGGCGATCGACGAACTGTGAACCGTTGACGGCGTTCTTCACGACAACGTCGAGAACATATTCGGCGAACTCCCCGGGTTCGTATCTGCGGGAGAACACACATGAACATATTCGGTGAACTCTCCGGTTTGTACCTGCGACCACGCCCACACCTCTCGCCGTACCTGCAACCACACCTCTCCCCATACCTGCGACCACGCCTCTCACCGTACCTGCGACCATGCCCCTCACTGTACCTGCGACCACGCCTCTCACCGTACCTGCGACCACGCCCCTCACCGTACCTGCGACCACGCCCCTCACCGTACCTGCGACCACGCCCCTCACCGTACCTGTGGTATCCGGCGAGCAGGGAGCCGAGGCGGCAGGCGGGTCCGTGTCGATGCTGCAGCAGCTGCTCGGCGTGGCTGAGCAGGCGGCGGAGCGCGCGGCGCTGGTGGCCCGGCGCGCCGATGCGCGGCTCGTCGTCATAGTTACCGTACAGCTGTCCGGCAGCGTCGACGTAGTTGTAGGCGATCACCTCGAAGCGCGTGCGGGGCCGGTACCTGACAACGACGAGCGACCTCCGTGTCAACACCATCATCGAAGCAAAACACGATTCACATATATATATATATATATTTATATGTATGTGTATGTATATATTCACTATTATGTATATTATGTATACATATAATATATGTGTATACATAATATATGTGTATATACATGATATAATGTATTATAAGTATATATATTATATATATGTAGGTAAAAACCGCTCGTGCGCGCGGCGACGGAAACGTAGTTTGCAAACTGGGTCATCGATCCTCCCCTCCCCCTCACCCTCCCCTCCCCTCCCACCCTCTCCCTCACCTCCACTGCTCGTTTGCATATGTGTCATAATGGCGGGCGACCTCGCCAATCACACGGAAAACGAAATAAGCGGCAAAATTTTTTTTTCTCGTGGCAATCTCAAACTGAAGACTTCTGCGCGGTGGTGTGTGTGTGTGTGTGAGGTGCTTTATAGCGCGCATGAGGAGAGACAAGGTAACGATGTCTTATAGGGACCTTGCACGCGCGTGTTAACTCGGTATGGGTGTGGCTCTATCAATCACCTTCAATTTTTATTATGATTATTATTATTCCATCTTTACTGCATGTACAAATACAAACTGTACTTGTACTAGAGCCAATTATTCTCTGAAGTCACCGGAAATGAAAACTATGATGACGCCAGTTATGATTATACATTCGATTCTGCGAGGCAGTTAGAACGTCATAAGTGAAGACCCTCAAAATTAGTTATAAATTTCACAAGCAATGATTCGAAATCAATTCTAAAGGTTTTTGCATGTATTTACTTTATGCGCGCGCGCAAAAAACACCTGCCCCAGCGTACGTGTTATGGCTGCAAGCCTGCAACTTGCTAGCATATAGCGAACTACTGCAGCAATCAGACTAGTGATAAACACACGTAGAATTGATATTTCGCTTGAAAATAATGAAATTTTATGAACAATGGCTTGAAAACTGGGTAACGCTCATTTAACCTTCTATTGTCTGCAGACAGCGAGGGAAATGAAACGACGACGACAAAAGTTAACGATAAAATTGAGAGTGCTATTTGTTTAGTTAAATGGCGTTGTGAAACAAACGCTATCAAAAACAATTACCCTTCTGTCCAAACAAAGTGAAATGCGTGCGTACCTGGAACAAGCGCCAGCTATGAATACACGGCACTGTATTATAAATAGCAGAGGCCGCCAAATAAAGCGTTCATTTCAAAGTAGGACGTGGAACAGGGAAGGACCTAGCTGTCAAGCTTCCAGCAAGCACATCACGTATAATATATACGCACTATTCACACCAACGGTGAGTATGAACATACATTCTATTGATTCATACTAACGGAGAGTAGAGATGTAAATTCTATTCACATTTGGTTTGTAGAAAGATATACATACTCTTCTATTCATGTAAAATGGAAACTTTTGCCATTAATTAAATATGAATGGAACTTTTTCTTCAATTTGACCAACGTCAGGCGTCAGGCTTTCTCTTTAATCGTTAAAGTCCCATGGACTATGAAGCATCTGCTTTGAGGTTATGAGGTGGCAGTTGCCACATATGTATCTCTATGGCTAATACTTTCCCTATGGGTTACAGACACGAGTTTAAGATTGTTGAATTCATTGCATTTCATCCTTCAGAAACGAGCATGTCTGCGCACACAGGCATCGTCTGCTTTTTCGTCTCGCTCGTGATCGGTGGCGCCCTCTGCCTGGGCTACAACGACGGCTATGGTTTCAAGGACCCGGGTCGCGGTTACCTCGATGCTGCCCCCCTCAACGTCGCCTACTCGGATGATTACGGCGTGTACGGCAGTGGGTTTGGTTACTACGGCGCTCTGCATCCCCGCAGACAGAACCAAGCATTCAGCCGATTCAGAACCGCCTCACAACCTCGACCAGCACCGCAATATTTTAGACCCGTACACGTCGCTGGACCAAAGTGAATCGTAGGAGTCGCCTGCGTGACGGTTTCGCACCACGAATCCTCACGGTGGTGAGCAGATAGAATCGAACCCCGCTATAACATGAGGGTCAGGCTCCAGATAATTTGATCGCGTGAAATTCTGGGAGAAGGGTAGCTCCGGATAACTTCATCGCAGAAAATTCTGGGAGAAGGGTAAAGGAAGCCGAGTGATGATAGCGTTATATCAGGGGTTAATATTGACAAAACTGTTAACTGACAAACAATTAATATTAACACATTTGTCATTATTAACCCCTGGTTATATTCACACGAGTCATGTTATTGTGGGGGTGGGGGGCACTTTACTGCAGTTACAGCACGTTACACGTTACAGCGGGATTCTACTGTATTCTACTTCCTATAACAGGGAGCGGGAGGTGGTGATGACGTTCGGTGAATTATGTTGTAAGTTGTAATGTTTGATCAGCATATAATGCACGTAGATACAGCTAAATACACCTACAGGTGACTATACTACTTGCCGAGATTAGTATTAGCAAAAGAAGATATAAAATACTAGATCTATTTTTTGTATTACGTTTTAAGTTTGATTCAAGACGTAAGGGTTTTTCATACTGCACCGATGTTCTAGACATTTCTTCCATTGCGAAACGCGTGAACAAAATTTTAAGTTAGTGTTTATTGTAAGCTGATGATAGACAATATCTTTGATTATGCCTTAGTGTATTCCTGGTTTCTCTACATTCCATGTATCAGTTTAAGACGTAAACCTTTAGCTCCATTAATTGAAAATAAGATGCATATGTAGGATGAGAAGCTAGATGGGTTTTACTAAAAACTAATATTACATCAACACTAGGAGCTAGTGAACAAATACCTATTATTGTGATTTCTCTACTGATAATACTTGTGTGCTGGGTTGTGTCACATATTTGCGATTAAATTTGTAAATAATAAAAAGTTTGAACTATTTAAAGTTTGTTGTTTGGGTATAAGAATACATCAGTTCACTGTTGATATTACCTTTATTTGCTTTTCAAACTTCATATGGAAATGAGTTAACAATGCAATCACACTGACAAGTACATGCTGCACTTATGTTTCAAATATGTACCAAGGTAATGGCTTTATTGAGAGCATAATTTCACAGTGCAGAAACTAACTTTTATGATCTCAGTGGGATTTAAAAATCCCATCATCAGGGTTTTAAATTGATACAGCCAGTAATTCACAGTGTAAAAAAACAATAGGGCAAACCTTTAAACAAAGCATACAAAAATCATATGAAGATGAAGACAATAAGGGCATTGTTCTGCGTAATATAGACCAAACACAAACGATTCGTTGCCCTACCTTGTTAATTGCAGCTGTTCCACTGCAAGCGCAGCATCGTTGCTGCACGATATGGGACATGGGGGACACTCCATGATCGCTGCAGGAGCATACTGCCAGCTGCCATCGCTGCGACGGTTTCCATCCCGTCCCCATTCTTCTCCCCGGCTCGTCCTTGCATGGCCGAAACCAGTTGTCGGCGACAGTAGGCGGTGACAGAGAAAGCCGAGACAAAATCCAACAAGAATGCGGAGAAAGTCCCTCAGCAGATGTTTGGCAGTGACAAGCTGGTTAAAAATCTGAATCGCGTGCAGCAACCTTCTTTTGATACGTTTCATGTTTTCTAGGCGTTGTAATGCTGGATCAGTGTACGCATCTGCATCTTTCAGCACTTGATCACAATGTTTCAACCAAAAAAGCTGTATATGGGTAGGAAGTTGATGTCTCATTCACTTGTTAGCCATAGACCATATAGTCTATAGAGTATCTTGCCAAGCCATCCTCTTTGCTGACACTGAAGAGTGAGGGTGGCCACTGCCAAGAAGGAACGTCAGTCTTCTTTTCACCTGACCATAGTAAATTTTATGACAGGTTATAACTATAAGTTTCAGAGTGGCTATATGCCCGGCAGCCGGCATATATATCTGACGGCTGCCGGGCACGGTCTTCGATTTCCCAAATGCCCGGCAGTTTTTAATTTTCAGCGTTATCTCAAATAAACAAGGGTTAGGGTTAGGGTTTGGGTTAGGGTTAGGAACTGCCAGGCATTTAGGAAATCGAAGACCGTGCCCGGCTGCCGGGCATATAGCCACAGCGTATAAGTTTAGCATGGACTCCACGATAGAGAAATTGATCACAAAGAGGAGGCCAATATAAAAGTTGAGTCGATACATCCTCGGAACCTGGCTATGATAGTTTCTTGAATGCCCATATCTTACAGCTTTATACTGAATGGCATCTAGTTTAGAACTGGGTGCAAATATCTGCAAATATCTGGGCGCATATTCTGGGGACATAGACCCGGTAAACATCAGGTTTAGCGTGCTAAATTAACTTGCAAACGCCACCGCCAGATGGCGCTACACTGTCTATCGGCGTTTTGGGCGTATCAGTGGAACATTAGCACTCTCGTAGTTCTGGTACAGGGTAGCAAAAGAGCAGTGTAGGGAGGGGGAAGTTTAGAGTAGTACTAGAGTAGGTGAAGTAGGGAGAAGCTAGTGAAGAATGAGGAAGGGGAGAAGGGAGAAGCTGGTGGAGAAGTAGGAGGGGAAAAGCTGGTGGCAAAGGAGGAGGGGAGAAGCTGGTGGAGGAGGAAGGGGAGAAGGGAAAAGGTGGTGGAGGAGGGGGAGAAGCTGGTGGAGGAGGAAGGGGAGAAGGGAGAAGGTGGTGGAGAAGGAGGGGAGAAGCTGGTGGAGAAGGAGGAAGGCTTCGCTACCCTGTACCAGAATGGGCGTACATATCTGGGCGCAAATCCACTTTAGGCACCTTAGGTATCACGAAGTGATGCACAGAGTTATGTGTATCATCAACTGATGCACAGACTTTCCGTATATATATCAAGGAATGATGCAAAAACCCTAACCCTAACCCTAAGTCATAAAGTATAACCTTAGGTATCACAAAGTTTGTTAGAGTTAGGGTTAGGGTTAGGGTTAGGGTTAGGGTTAGGGTTAGAGTTAGGGTTAGGGTTAGGGTTAGGGTTAGGGTTAGGGTTTTTGCATCATTCCTTGATATACGGAAAGTCTGCGCATCAGTTGATAATACACAGAAATCTGTGCATCATTTCGTGATACCTAAGCCTAAGCCAAGGTGCCTAAAGTGGATTTGCACCCATATCTGTACTGTACTACTACTAGTCTGTTACAGTAGTACCTGCATGATACGACAACGACCTCTTGAGCACTACTACTATAGCGTTATAAAATCCTCATAGTCATAGTTACCTCTTACAACATTTCAAGTTAAGGACGCCGGCTTAGCATAACATAGAATGGAATCAGCAACACGTACTGTCAGATTTGTCAGACTTCTACTAACAAGTTGCAAGTAAACAAACAACAGTACAACACATGTTCAAAAATTCCGACCGCCGATTCGGCGACTATAATGACCTGCTACGTGACCAGCCACCAGTTTTATTGCGTAGTAGTGTTATATGCCCGGTGAGATTTGTCCGGACTTATCACTGTATTTTTCGCGTAGTGTAATGGCACAATAATTAGACAGGAAGAATAACTAGAGTATGTCAGCAGCCTGGAAGAAAGCTGATCGAGAGAGGGGTGAATTATTAATATTTATCCTGCTGCTATATATATATATAGCTATAGCTCTGCTTCCACCACTCTATATAGCTCTGGTTTGTGACCCGCGGCTCTCTATAGATTGCATATGCCTTTGCGATATGGATTCCCCTTATTCTGATCTACTGGTCGAATCTCTTATTGCTCTCTGCTTTATTGCTTCTCATTCATCGACGTTCCTGTGCTCATGCACCTGCAGCCATGCTCCTTAATTCGGCCCCCTTTCTCTTCCATTTACTTCCAAATTATTATCCTCATTTGACCACGTGCGCACTGCACAGTATGGTAATGGTTAGTATCCAAGATAATATTCTTCGGCCGTTCTTATACGCTCAAACTGGAGCCGGGCAGGCTGACAGTACGTATAGTAAACGTACGACGTACGACTGCAGTACGACTGCAGTACGACGTACGTGTGCATGGTAAAATCTGATCTACATGCTTCACTTCGCTTGCAGCATCGCGCCACGATTCCCAGCTATGCTAATGTATGGGCAAATGGCGCTGCAACGTCGGTCGCCGTTGACTGCCAAGATAATATTCTTCGGCCGTTTTTATACGTTCAAACTGGAGCCGGGCAGGCTGACAGCACGTGTACAGGGTAAAATCGGATCTACATGCTTTACTTCGCTCGTAGCATCGCGCCACAATTTCCAGCTATGCTAATGTATGGGCAAATAGCGCTGCGACGTCGGTCGTCGTTGACTGGCAAGATAATATTCGCCGGCCGTTCTTACGTGGATTCGCCCCCCCCCCCATAGAATTCACTTCTGTATCCGCCACTAGTTACCTCCGCGCAACGGAGTTGCAGGGAGGTAATGTAATCGGTCTCGTGTGTGTGTTCGTGTGTGTGTTCGTGTGTGTGCGTAGCGTTGGCGCGATCGATTCAGCACCAGCTCGCCTTAGGGCGTCCAGTCAACAGCAGCTCGCCTTAGGGCGTCCAATCAGCAGCAGCCAGCAGCGAGTCAGCTGTTATACACATGTATACATGTTACACGCTCGCAGAGGTATGCATTCTCTTTGAGTGCCCTCTGTCTAGTTGTGTGTGTGTGGGGGGGGGGGTTGCGTGTTATTAAACCTCTGAAATCCAAAGAAAAAAATAACCCCCTAGAATTCACAAATATTGCACTTACAATTTTTTTTTTTTTTAATTCTTTTAAAAACGGCTATCCTGTAGGTTCTAAATTGCTGAAATCTAAGAGCTTCCGGGGGCTCTGCCCCTGCCCCCCACCCACCAGGGGCCGTAGGGCGGGCCCCTGGACCCCACTCGTTAAGGGCTTCGCGCCGAGAGGCTCGCGGTCTGCTACGCGCACACACTATTCGTATATTTTGTGATAACAGCAAACTCATCCCTCTTCCAACTGAGGACCTGTCTACGCCACTGGGTAGAGCTGCAGTCAGCAGGGGGTCTTTTGGGACGCAGGAATATTAGACCAGTTCGGAGCCAGAGGAGTTTGAATTTCACTATTCGATTAATTTGCTGCTGTTAGTGTTATGATTATGAGTTAGGGGCATATGTAGCAAGGACCACGACGTAAAAAAGTGAATATATATATATATATCTTTCTCTCTCTCTGCTCTTCGTCTCCTCTCTCATCTCTGCCTCTCACTCTCCTCTCTCTCTCTCCTCTCTTGCTCTCTCTCTCTCATCTCTCTCTCTCGTCTCCTTCTCTCGCGTCTTTCTCTCTCCTCCGTCGACTCCGTCCACAAATCGGCTCTACAATCTCCTCTCTTCGTCTCTCTCTCATCTCTATCTCTCTTCTCTCGTCTCTCCTCTTTCTCTGTTCTCATCATCTCTCTCTCTCATGCTTCTACTCTCTCTCTTTTTCTCTCAGCTCTCTCTCTCTCATCTCCTCTCTCCTCTCTGCTCTCATCTCTCTGCTCTCTCTATCTCTCTCTCTCTCTGTGTGTGTGGTGTGTGTCTGTGTGTAGTGTGTGTGTGTGGTGTGTGTGTGCGTGTGTGCGTGTGTGTCGTGTGTGCGTGTGTGCGTGTGCGCGCGCGCGGCCGTGGTGTGTGTGTGTGTGTTGTGTGTGTGTGTGTGTGTGTGTGTGTGTGTGTGTGTGTGTGTTTAGTGTGTGTGTGGTGTGTGTGTGTGTGGTGTGTGTGTGTGTGTGTGTGTGTGTGTGTGTGTGTGTGTGTTAGTGTGTGTGTGTGTGTGTGTGTGTGTGTGTTTGTGTGTGTGCGTGCGTGCGTGCGTGCGTGTGCGTGCCGTGTGTGTGCGCGGTGTGTGTGTGTCCGCGCGGTGTGGTATTAGTTCATACGCTGGTAAAATGCATTGTAACGGTATACATGCATGTAAGCCTATGGGTTAGCTAAATAAAAAACAGCGAGTTTGATATTACATATTTTTACCTGGGAAACTGGATATGGACCGCCACCACACACACACACACACACACACACACACACACACACACACACACTGACACACACACAGACAGACACACACATACATTCAAATAGCCTGCATGGCCACTATACCTCCTACGTTTTTCTTCCTTAGCTAGAATTAAAAAAGGGGGCGCCTATAGCTGCCATCTGATGTCCAAACTGTATACATATATACACGTACACGTACGGGAGAAAAGAAGATCAGCGGCTAGGCTAGCTTCTCAACGCGCCTTCCCAACGAATTCGAGTGCATTGCACGTAGAATAGTAGAATACACTACTGACATTGCGCGACCGACCGGTTGTCCGGCGGTCGGTTATCAGGTCAGCTGTTCTCTTTTTTTAATCGAGGGGCGAATCGCGAATCAGGTGATTTGTCTTTTCAGTTAATGTCAACATTCCTGTTGCTGCGCACAAGATCGTTGTGAGGGTTCGGACGTATAAACATGGCACTGTTTGGAAAATCTGCGGTGTTCCAGGCTGTCTACACATTTGTAGATGACAACTGGCCGTTGCTGCTAGCACTGTTTCTGATTGTAGCTTGGGTTGGTCTCATAATATTACTTCTGAACGGTGATCAGCCAGCGAGAAATCCGATCCATCGTCGGACCGTACGTCCACCGTCGCCGGTTGTGACTGACCAAAGTACAAGAGACAAAGTTCTGAAACTAGGTCATGAGCCAATGCTTTACTATTAATAGTAATGGAGATGGGGTCGTTGTCGTATAAGATACTACAGATATGTACCCGATGTAGTTTTAGGTTGTTTAGTAATAGTATTATGTTTATATTTTTATATGAGGTATGTTTAGGGTTAGTGTAACTGTTACTGTTAGGGTTAGGGTACAATTCTGTAGTACAAGTCTGGTACACTTTGTGTATACATATATGTACCTCGGGTACATATCTGTAGTACCTGATACGACAGCGACCCCTTGAGCAATAGTAATACCAGGTTACCACGAACTATAGTATAAAAACGTAATATTATGTTACAGTGTAGTGGTAATATATAGTTTAGTAAATCTTGGCAATCTCGGCACTTGGAACGTCTCAATAAAAAAGAAAAATGCCATAATGGTAAATAAACACGAAATATATTTACTACCAAAGTCTTAATGTTTCTCTACTCTATTTCGCCTATTATTGTTGATAACTTGCTGTAAATGCCGTTCAAATGCTCATCTACAACACACAAGTACACCGCACGCACGCCCACAGGCACTTGGAGCGTTTCAATAAAATATAATGCTATATAAATACGAAATCGATTTACTACCAAAGTCTTAATGTTTCTCTGCTCTCTTTCACCTATTGTTGCCGACAATTTCCGGTAAATGCCATCCAAATGCTCGTCTGCAACACACTCACACGCTGGCCGGCGCACGCTAGCTGCTGCACACTGACACATAAATATATAGCAGGTAGGAAAGCGTGCTGCCAAAATTTGCTCGATGCTCGCTTGATTTCATACGAATACAACACAAATATTCAAACATTCTATTTGAAGAACAGTGTTCACTTGTTAAAAAAACTTATTGTCTGTGTTGGTAACCGAGCTATTTTTATTGGTGGCAGAGCGCGCGGCCACCACCTTGACAGTTCTCGGTGGCCCGACGCCCGTTTCAGGTGGGCGGTCCATTGGCACCCGGGCCCCCCTCCTGTTAAAGTCGAGCCCTGCTTCTCTCCATGTTCAACACAGTTCAAGTTCTAGCTTCAGCTTCAATGTTCAGTTCAGTATCTAGTTCACACAGCATTTGTTGACTGTTTACAATAGACTGAAATGCTATTTGCTATTTAGAACCCACTTCACCTTGGCCCCTCCCCTCCCCTTTTCGATCCCCTCCCCCTCTCCTCATCACCCTCCTACCACCAACCCACTACGCTCGCGCTAGCGGAATATCCAATGATAACTGCTTAATATAGTTTGAATGCCATTAAAGTTACCACAGCTGTATCTTTATTACTTACTACCAGATATAGCAAAAGCCTATCATAGATTTTAGCATCTGTGATTAGGTAGTATCCTCTAGAATATATGCTCCTGGGCGCGCAACGCGGTGGTGGCATAGGGGCGCACTTGATTCGGGCCAGTGAGTTTATCAGCAAGAATACCCCGGCTACAGTACACGTTCAGCTTGTCGCTGTCGCCTCTGCGGCAACTTGTTTTATTTATGAGAGTTCGCACGTGCCTGTGTGCACGCCCTGTGCCAAACAACAAGGAATAAAAGGATACTTATAGGCGAAGTTAAGACGTAGAGAACCATAAGACATCGCGTCAGTAAATTACATTTTCGTGCTATTTACCTTTTTTTAATTTGTGGAGACGTTTCAATGGCTGCCTGTGGGGTTTGATGGTTTGTGTAGCGTGTTTCTTGGCCACTGGCCAGCTACCCACTGCACCCAAGTACCCCGCCCAAGCTCTAATACTGGGTAGTATAGACACTCTGCTAGACGTGCGAACCGCCCATGAATCTTCAAAGTAAGCCAGGCAGGGAGTCCATTATGACGCACTGTGCTAAAAAGTTAATTATTTACTTGCAGTGTTTCCCCTGCATTTTGACACGACTACGATCCGCGCGAGGACACGTCATTCGGTTTGCTCAAATTTCTACAGCGCCACACAGAAATATGTCAAAACAGCGCCTCGCGTGGTACGAAATCAGTTCAGAATAGCTATTAGAATGCACTCTAATTGCCACACTTTTTTCGTAAAAATGTTCCAGGGCGGCACTTGCATAGTCCCCGGGAAAACCCCCCCCCCTTACCCTAGCGGGTGTGAACACCCGTGAGTGCTTTAGCTTTTGCTAGGACCTCGAATATCTGTCCGAAGAACATCGCCCAAAACTAAATTTACCACTTTTTTTGGCCAAGGGGAAACGACCTTGCTGCTTGATGTATGTGGCGGGCGTACGTAACTCCGCGAAGCCCGTCTGGTGGGGCCGGGGGGCGGTTGCTGGACGACAAATGACCTCCGATATTGCAGGGCTCTCAAACGTTTTCCGGGGATATAGGGTGCTCTCTGACAGGTTTGGATTGCGAGTCGTAATAGGTCAGTTGGGTATTCGGAGACGGGTCTTACTGCCGGATCGCGTGCCTCGCCCGCCGCTGGCAGCCTGCGGGTGCGTCGAGTGCTGAGAGCAGGCATGATCACGGCAGGCTGGCTGCTTGCCACGTCTTCAGAGAGAAGGGGCTAACGGAGTTTCGATGTGCGACATACCGGTAAGAACGGCGCCTGTTAGCTGCGGGGTGTTTCCCAATCCTCGCAAGGACCCCTTTTTATTTAAGATTAATTTTCCCACAGTACCCCAGGTTTGGGCACCAGCGAGCAACGATTGCAGCGGAAGGTGTATGATGTCTAGCATTCTTAGATCTGTAGCTGTTAACCGCATTATCTGTATTGTCCCGAGAGATGGTGTTACGTATTGTCACGAGTCCCTGTCTACATATTGTCCAACGAATCGTACTGTAATTGTCCACGGTCGTTTACTGTATTGTCGACGATTTATACGTATTGTCACGAGTTGCTACGTCATTGTCGACGCATCGTACGTACTCGTGTCACCGATACTGGTAGTATTGTCACGATGTACGCTATTGTCACGACTCGTACGTAATTGTCACCGTGGTACCGTTTATTGTCACGATAGTAACGC